GGAAGGGGAGGCGTATGAGGGAAGCATTATGGAAGGAAGCGCTGATGTAGTAGGAAGAGGATGTGGGGAGGGAGAGGGGTAGGAGGAGGGGAGCTAGGGCAGGGAGGTGGGGACTTCGCAGGGGCAGGGGACAGGGGCCTGGGGGTGTGAGGGAGGGAGAGGATAAAGGAGATTCACAAAAGAAGTGTAAAATTATCACCGTATGTAATGTTTATAATGTTGATATTTCCTTCCTGCCGTCTGTGCGTTTGGGTGGGTGAGGGGGGGGGCATTATGCACACGTAAATGTGTATGTATTACGAAAAAGATAATGATAATACATAAACTAACCGCCGCAAACAGAAAGTATCAAAGGACCATGAGAGGATGAGTCTGCAATAAGAAAGTGTTCCGGCAATCAGCAAAACACAATTTCGAAAACGAAGAAAACATCAACAGGCGAAAAGAACATGTAGAGAAATGACACGAGAATCACTTCCTGGGGCGAGTATTATGTGAGTAATTAGTAGTTGATGCGAATGAAAATGTCCCTTTTTTCATTTCATTGAAGAAAGTTGATATATTTCTAAAACCTGATGCTGGATTATATACATTATGTATATATATATATATATATATATATATATATATATATATATATATATATATATATATATATATATATATAATGTGTGTGTATGTATATGGATTTATGCACACATACACAAAAAAATGCTTATAAACGAGTTCAAGTACTACAGCCCCATTCACTACCCACTTATTCTCGTTAATATCACCATAAATATTACCAAACGTCGCCAGATAACCATCAGATATCACCACCATTATTTTAATCAAACGCCCAGATCGGCATGCAGGTCAGCAGCGGATCTCTCGCTGTCACATTTCAGATCTGATTATTCAGGCCGCACGCTGTCTGCCGCTGCCGTGTCTGCCTGGCGTTGGCGTTTCGGATGCGCCAGGGCTATTTTCGGGTCGGGGTTTTGACGGTTTTCGGATGGTTTCTGTTGTTTGTCTGTTTGTTTGGTCGGTGCTGTTATGCCCATTGGTGTTGTTGCTTTTGGTATTATTGCTGAAGCTATTGTTGTTGCTGATGTTGCTACAACTATTATTGTTGTTGTTATTATTATTATTATTATTATTATTATTATTATTATTATTATTATTATTATTATTATTATTATTATTATTATTATTATTATTATTACTGTTATTATTATTATTATTATTATTGTTAATAATGATAATGATGATAATCATAATAATCATAATAATAATAGTATCATTATTATTATTACTTTTTATCGTCACCATTGTTATTATCATTTTCATCATTATTATTATATTAGCATTTTTTAAAATGCAGTATTACTATCATCTAAATTGGAGTACTCGTAATGATTATAATTATCATTGTGTTAATGACATTGTTTTATACCATCATTTTTATTATGACTCATATTTACTCTTAAAAATAGACAAATTTATAGCTTATAAATCTTTCCACTCGTGATCCAAGTCTGATATTTGTTTTTTTTATCCTTTTTAATCCTCATTTGAATTTCAATAAAGATAATTACGTAAGGCAAATAAGCATCACGATTTAAAGGTGCATGGTAATATATGTTTAGTCATTAAGAGCGTCGCGTGAATAGCCGACGTGGAAAAAAGCAACTCTTACACGCATGAAATCAAGTGCTACATCTCGGCCAACACAGCCACGCGTGTTCGGCCCGAATTGCGTCGACTTTCGGGGCTCATGCCGTGACGATTTTTTCCCCACACGTTCCTTGGGGAGGCGATTTGGTGTATAAAAGGATGTATTAATGTATGTATATACATATGTGTCTACATAGATATGTATGTATTTTTATGTATTTTTTCCCTCTTAAATGGGGTTTAGTTAGGGTTTGGGAGTTCGGGGGTTCGCATCGGGGTTGGGGGTTGGTAGAGAAAGAGAGAGAGAGAGAGAGAGAGATAAGGTGAGGGGAAAGTGAGGTAAAACGGCCGGCGTTGGAAGTCTTACCCCACGCGCTTCTCCCTGCAAGATCTGCCCATGCAAGTTGCTGCACCGTCTCTGAAGTCTCCTGGACACCGAATTCCACATTGAGGATATGTCGGAGGATCCACACTGCAAGGCCTTTCAACGTCAGTGCGTCGAGCTTGAAGACACACCACCATACCGTGCAAGCGCCCTTTTCGAATTGCAATATACAAGGAACCTGATTATATAGGCCTATGGTTGTAGATTGATAATGAATATGTTTGTATGTGTGTGTGAATGTTGTGTGTGTGGTGTGTGTGTGTGTGTGTGTGTGTGTGTGTGTGTGTGTGTGTGTGTGTGTGTGTGTGTGTGTGTGTGTGTGAGAGAGAGAGAGAGAGAGAGAGAGAGAGAGAGAGAGAGAGAGAGAGAGAGAGAGAGAGAGAGAGAGAGAGAGAGAGAGAGAGAGAGAGAGAGAGATGACATTGGTGTTAACTCTTCGCCTTCTTCCTCCCACAGGATAAGAGTACGCACGTGCCCTCCTCCTCCTCCTTCGCCAGCGCCTCAAAGAGTGATGGACGCCTCCCAGAGACTTCACCCTTCGGACTCTTCGGTAAGTCGAGGTTTTAATTCGTCGTATCCTCTTTCTCCTTTTCTTTTGGCACCTCCTCCGTCTCCCCCTCCTCCTTCTCGTCCTTATTTTGGAATTCTTCCCCCTCTCGTTTTGTTTCCTTTTCTCATTTTCCTTATAATTTTCCTCCTCTTCATCATCATCATTTTCCTTATCCTCTCCTCCCTCCTCATTCTCATTCTTTTCCTCATTCCCCTCCTCTTCCTTCTTCCTCCACCACTTCTTCCTTCTCCACCTCCTCCTTCCTCCCTCCGCTCCTCCTCCTCCTCTTCTTCTTCCTTCCCTTCCTCCGTCCCTTCCTCTTCCTTCTCCTTCTTTCTTCTTACCTTTCCCTCTCGTCTCTTGTCTTTTCGTAAGTACTTTGATGCAGAACCACTGAAACCACTCTGCTTCTATTCATCACTTAACTCTTGCATTCTCATTTTTGCAATTTCTTTTTTTGCACAATTTGTTATCCTTAGCCGTACTTTTTTGCATTTTTGCTCTTGTGTGGAGACTTCTCTTCAGACTCACTCCCTCTCTTAGGGTGTTTTCTTAACCCTCCATTTTTACGCTTGCCTTGTCTTTAAATATCTTTTTTTTCTATTTTTTTTTCTTTACACTCTGGGTATATGCTTGTAAAAAAGATCGTCACTTTTTGGGGGTTGGGTTTTATTATTGAAAGATAACAATTTTTTTGACTATTTTCTACCGTTTCACATTTCTTTCTAATGATGTCCCATGGATTAAAAAAAAATAAAAGAGAATATATAATATATGCCATATATATACATATATATATATATATATATATAAATATATATATATATATATATATATATATATATTATTAAAGTGGTGAGCAGACGGACATGGCGTAAAAAGCTGGTGTAGAATGGTTGTTACGGCGTTGAAGGCAACCCTTGTCCTAGATCACGGGGTTGGGGAAGGGGGTGAGGGAGGTGAGGGGAGGGGGTAAGGGTGATGGGTAGGTGTGTGAAAGTGGGCCTTGTCCTCCTGTGACCACACGCATAAGTACATCGTTTCCGCGTTCCGTTCAGAGTAGTGGTGCACTTCGTACTCGATGAATACTCTTCTTCTTGGCGTATTCGTACTCACCCTTACTTTGATTGTCACCGTTATCGCTTTTGACATTTCATGTGGTTATCATCATATTTTTCATTATCATTATCATCGTCAGAAACAAGAATAGTAACCATCAGCAGCAGCATCGTTATCATCACCATCATCGTCGTCATAATCATCATTATCACCATCGTCGCTATCATTGTCGTCATCATCATCATCATCATCATCATCATCATCATCAGTCACCACCACCATCACCATAACCATGACCATCATCATCACTTTCATCAACTAGGCCACACAACCACCATTGCTATTACTATCGAAAATCTATCCACAGCCTCTTCCCTTGACCCTTTGCCTACCTCTTTCCCCCTTGCTCCTTGACCCTGTCATCACCACACGCGCTTCTTTCACCACTTTTTCTGTTCACACCAACACTCGTGAATTTGTAAACACAACAACAAAAATCTTGTACGTCAATCAAAAGTCAACTTGCATACTGACGCCGGTTACGTACTTACAGCGAGATAGGGTCATTGTAGATTTTGTTTTCTTGTTATATCTTATCAGGTGGATTGTTTTTTTTTCAAAGACTTAGGAAGAGGGATAAGAACTGGGAGTATATGAGGAAGAGGGAGGGGTGGGGAGGGGGAGGGGTGAGAGGGAGTGTGGAAGAGAGGAGAATGTGAAAGAGAGGGAGGGGGAAGGACGGTCGGATGTACAGAGTGAGTGAGTAACTGAGCCAGTGAGAGAGAGAGAGAAGAGAGAGAGAGAAAAGAGAGAGAGAGAGAGAGAGAGAGAGAGAGAGAGAGAGAGAGAAGAGAGAGAAGAGAGAGAGAGAGAGAGAGAGAGAGAAGAAAGGCAGCGCTCTCTTTAAAATGGCCTCTCCCTCCCCCCCCTCACCCCCTTTTCTTCGCTTTCTCCTCGTCTCCCTCCTTTGACTTTCCTCCCGACGGTAGGAAGAGGGCGTAGCGAAACAGGAGGATGGAGAGGGAGAGAAAGAGGATGAAGGGAAGGGGAAAGGCGGATGGGGATAGGGTGTAGAAAAACAGAAAGGAGGGTAAAGGTTGTGGAGGCGAGAAGAGGGGAGAAAGGGAAAGGAAAGGGGGTGGTGGTTATAGGATAAAGGAGAGAGAGGAGAGGGGAAGGGGAAGAGGGGGAGGGTTGTAGAGCGAAAGGGGTTATGAGTAATATGCAACACGGGACACATTCCTGCTAGTGAGTTGTCGTTGCTGTCCTCACAAGACAATGGTGGCTGCTTGGACTCTCAACAGCACGCGAGAGCCACAACATGCGGCAAAAATTCCGTTGAAACTCTTTCCTTTATATAGAGAGGACAAAACAGACTCTTGGCTTGTACGCGGGTGCCGTGGGGCGTTCCCTCCCGCAGGAGCAAGAAGCAGTGGCGCGGTGCATGTTTCCCCCTACCCCTCCTTCCCTCTCTTTTTTCTCTCTCTCTTTTCTGCTCTCTTTGCTTTTGTCTCCTTTTGGTCTCTTCAGCTTTCTTCTGTTTTCTTCCTTTTTGTCTTCTCTTCCTTTTTTCCTTAAATTCGCCAATTGCTTCTATGTCTCTTTTTTCTCGTTATCTGTCTTCCCTTACCGACTTCTTTCCATCCCGTTTTCTCCCTCCCTTACCCTTTCCGTCTGTGCCACTCGCCCTCTCTGTTTTATGAAGATAGGCATGAAATTGAAGGCACTCGTAAGCAACGAATATCGCACAGTTTGTTGATATGGCCCAGAGATTTTCCTTTTTAAACCTTTTTTTGGAAGCACCGTGATGAAAAAAATCATGTGCAATTATTCCTTGAGGTCTGTAATATTAAACGTAAATATTTTCACCAATAAACTGTTTGTTTTCTTAGTAATAATGCAGGTTTTGTTGCAGGAGCGTCGGCATGGGGTGCTGCGGATCGCTTGGGATACTTGTCTCCGTTCGCCTACGCTTACACGAACGGCACTTCGGCAATGGTGAGTACCTTTCGTCGCCAACTGTTTGTTTGTTTTCTTTTCTTTTCTTTTCTTTGAGGGTCTTGTGGTATTGCTAAGGTTATTTGCTGGGTTACTTACTGATGTTATGTTTTAATTGTAGGTTATAAATATTATTGCCATTGCTGTCGTCATATTTCTAGGATTATGTGCGTCTGTATGGTGTGTGTGCGTGCGTGCTTGTGTGTCTGTGTGCTTACGGATGATTTTGTCTTTGTGTCTGTGTCTGCATATACCAGTGCTTGTGTCTGTGCCAGTGTATGTATGCTCTGTATGCGTATGGGTTGGTGTGGGTGTATATCCACGTGTGTTTTGTCCGCGCGTGCCCGCCCCCTTTTTAAGCATGACGGATCGCCGCCGCAGAGTCTCCCATGGCTCACGACAAATTCGAGGGTGATGTGTCATATTCTGCAAATGATGGAACTCCAACCGCAACACGTGCTTGGCTAATGCCGTTTTGGCTTAAGAGATGAATTACCACGCGGCCATTAGCAGGAATCGACATATAAACACGTATAGACTGAAAAGAAATCCGTAAACATTTAAGAAAGGAAGATTGATTATTTTTTTATTTTCTTTTAATCACGGACGTGTCTTTTTTCGTAAGGATAAAGATCCGTGGGCAGAGTCTTTATTTATTCGGAATTCGTATTTTTGTTTTGTTTATTTCAGTCTTGGATTTTGTTTGTTTGTGACGATAGCGTAAGTAAAGGGCATTTTAAGCGATGGAAATGGTACTGAGCATAAAGTAAGTACTGCATAATGTGGTAATGCGAGCGTCGATGGACCTTACTACTCCAAGGTCTGCAAGTCTTATCTGTGATGTGACCTTTGGCTCTGATAAGGATATTGCGTTAGGGAGGCCCTGTTTGTGCAGAGAGTGAGGGAGGAAGATGAGGAGGAGAGGGGGTAATGGGAAAAGAGAGAGAGAGAGAGAGAGAGAGAGAGAGAGAGAGAGAGAGAGAGAGAGAGAGAGAGAGAGAGAGAGAGAGAGAGAGAGAGAGAGAGAGAGAGAGAGAGAGAGCGCTTTCACAACACGGGTTTGATTTCTCTCAGAGCGCCCTAAAATTCTGACGATGCAGACTCGTTCCAAGAAGGGCCTGTTGGAAGGGGCTCGTAGGGAAGGAAAGGGGAGGGCCGGTCCCAGGGGAGTGTCCCGGGGGAGCCTTCACCTGATGGACACAACCCACCAATTGGTCCCCCGAGGCGATGCGTCCATCACGGGCCAGGTGGCGGCGGGCGGGCGCGGCGGGCGGCGGGCGGGCCGCGCGCGGGCTGGAACGGCGAGTCCTGCCCGCCCGCTCCGACTGCGAGCAGACGCGTGTGGGGCTTTTGGGTTGGAAATGAACTTTGTGTGTGTGTACTTGCACATAACGCAAATGTAAACACAATCACACACAACATAACACCACAAAACACAATATCTAATTCATCGTTGTTCCCCTTTCTTGCCTTCCCCCAACTCTCCCTCCCTCCTCCCTCCTTCCCCCCCTCGTCCTCTCCCTCCATCATCCCTCTCTTCTTCCCCATTCCCACCTCCCTCCCCCATACTTCTCACTTCCCTCCTTCGCTCTTTTCTTCCCTCCCCCCCTCCCTCCCACCCTCACTACGAGCACGCGTCCCCGCTTTACGGCTCGACTTGGCACCTGGTCGCTAACTAGGCAGGCTGGAGGAGGTGAGACCTGGCCAATACCTGCGATGATCGTCCCAGATTAGCATGTCTGTCTTTTTGCTGGGTTCTGGAACTGTCAAAAAAGGATTAAATTCTAGTTTAGTGTGATGATGACTGAGATTGTCATAGACGGATCGCAATCACAGTCATCGTTGTCGT